TAAATGTCCTTGTAAATACATGTTTGCACACTGTGTCAGCATATCTATAGGGTAAATTCTTAACAGTGGAATTGCTGGCCAGAGAGAACGTGCATTACATAGAGGTTGTTGCTACTTCACCCTTCCATAGGAAGCGAATAAAGGAGAAAGCCTGTTTCCTCACATCCTCACCAACATAGACTATTATCAAACTTAAATTTGTATCCATCTATTAGGTAAAAATTGACATCTCATTGTTTTGATTTTGAGTTTTGTTTTTTTTTTACATAAATTGACTATTCTATTTTTCTATTGAAAAAATTATTCCTAGGAGCGTTACAAAATGAAGAGTTCTAGCTATTTACAAAAGGTAGAAAATGACGACTATAATAAGCTAAAGAACCAGCATGTTTCCTTTCAGTTTTGCCAATTTTGTTTTATACCATCTCACTCTAGCTCATACATATCATTCACTTAAAAATACCTATCTTTTACAAAATACTGATAGATATCATCCTTAAAAAGACAAATTTTGTTAGATGAGAACATATGTTTGGGTCTCTCCCTGTTGAAACTGTCCACTAAGGCAGTAAGTGCAAATCTTAGTATTTGACCAATGCTTCTCCTCCATGAATGTCTATTTTTCCAGTTTTTCAAAATAAAATAGTCTGAACTTTCTGTTAAACAAACGGAATTTTTCTCCTTTTTTTAATTGTTCAGTTACAGTTGTCACCAATTCCCCCCCTTACTCTCCCCTGCCTTACCCACCCCCCACCTCTCACATTCCGTCCTCCCCCGACCCCCATTGTCTTTGTCCAGGGGTCCTTTATACAAGTTCCTTGACCTGGCCCTTCCTCTTCTTTCCCTCCTTAACCAAAAGGTTGGTTTTGTACTTGAGATAGCCTCAGATTATCCTCCTATTACTGATGCCTTCTTGCCATTTGCTCCTTGATAGTTGGTGAGTTCAGGGTCTGGCCTTGTGAATAAAGCCAGTTAAAGGGAGTTCGGCGGCTAGTGTCGTGATGGTGAGGCGGCATATACTCTACAGTGTCTGTCCTAACAATTCCCTCCATTTTTGTTTGGTTCATTCATTCATTTGTATTTTCTGTCAAACCTAGGAATAGCACTGGGCCACTCGTTGGTCAGTCCAAGCATTTGATGCAAGTCCTCTTCCAACTACTAGCAGCAAGAAGGCCAGGTGTGGGGGATAGTCCAGTAAGTTATTGGCTGGACTTTAGACAACAGGGAAAGTCTGGAATTGGTACTACCATTTGATATCACAAATGACTATAGGAAGCAAAGAGTTAAAAAAATTTCCAAATAGTAGAGTGTTTTTGAGGTGATAATACTGCTCTTCTGGGTCATTTGTTCTTCTCTACAGTCTCTTTGGAATGAGAAATAGGGTCATTTCACTGAGTGCAAAGGCACTCTACTTCAGGAATGTAAAGTGTCAGTCACCAAACTCTTGGGTGTATGTGTATGTAAACTGGGCATTTGAGAGATTGCTAGAGAGGCAGATTCAAGACAACACAGGCAGTCCTTGCTTTGCACAGTGGTGCCGGACTACAAAAATAATGCAGGTTGAAACTGTGCAAGGCAATTTTAATAAACAATGGGAAAATTATGATTGTTCCATGATTTTTAAAAATTTTTGTTAAATATTGAAAACATTCTGCTAGTTACAAACATTAGGGAATTAAAAGTAGAACTAATATTTTTTAGTGCATTACAATTTAAAACATTAGAAATATTGAGAATTCAAGAATCTTATTTTTTGGAAAAGAACTTTATCAAGATTAGTTTAAACAGCGCTTGCTTTCTTCTTGTCATATAACTTGCAATACAGAGGTGAACATCGATTTTATGCCTTGGCGAATTGTCCTACTGTTTTCTAGGTTTGGGTCAGCTTCCAACATTTTACCCTTCATGCTTTCAGTGTTGTGAAATATCTCTGAAGATTCTTTAACTGCCCAATATTGTGTAGGCATCACTTTCTCTGGGGCAAATCCGTCCTCTCTGTCACAGTCACTCTCCTCGTGTATGTTGATAAGCTTGCCTTCACGAAGTCCCTCTGGTTGCGCACCTAGACTCTAATGGTGGCTGTGTCATCGTTCCCATGGGCAGGAGTTTCTTCTCTTGCTCTGTTTGCATTTGATTCGGATTTCACTTCCAGCATTATCTCTTTTAACTTTTTTTCTTTTTTTTGACTGCAGTTTCATCTTTGTTGACAAGTTCCTTGGGAGACAAGGAGACAACACAACCGCACACTTTGCTGTTTGTGTGTGTGAACTTAATAAGCAGGTGCACAGTGTCGAGTCACCAACAGATTGTGAAAGATCATGATGCGCACCTGCCATTTGCATAGTGATTATGGATTAAAGAGCTAGCAGTGATATTCGAACTTTATGCAGTTATATTTAATATACTGTGCTGACTAAAATTTGAACCATGTTGTTGATATTTAACTAAGTCACGATGACTGAAATTCATGCATATCAGGCCCATGCAAAGTAAGGGCTGCCTAAATAAATGGGCTACCAGACACATGGTACTGATTGCATGTGATTTCTGTAGTAATGACAGTTTTGTTGGGTATGCTGGTTGTATAGTAGGCTCACTGTTTTTGAGACTTTTGAGAGGTTACTTACAGAATGTTAAATGTTTATTTGCAATCTGTATTAGAATAGGCTAGGTAGGTTATGCTGTGGTAACAAGTGGCCCCCAGATCTCAGTGTTCTTGAGGCCTTCCGTCGCATATTGCCTGGGAGGGCAGGAGGAAGAGAGGAGACTCTGTTTTCTTTTCCTTTGTCCTCACTCTGAGACCCGGGCTGAGGGAGGCCTCATTTCTGTGCTTTTATACAATAGTTACTAAGGCAGGAATTGGGAACATGATATATTGCATACTGTCTCTTAAAGTACACCTAGAAATGATACATGCCATTTCTAACCATGTTTCATTGGCCAAAACAAGTCACATGGTCATATCTCAAAAGACATAGAGAAGCACAATTCTACCATGTGCTTAGAAGAAAGGAACGTTGGGTGAGGAGCATTAGTGACTAGTATAGTATCCAAAGAGTTGATTTAAGGGGAGTTAATCTAAAGAGGGTATTGAGGATTAGGATTACAGACATACGTGTTAGATTGTCTCTGTCTGCTAGTGAAAGAATCGAGCTGAGGCAAAATTGTGTGTGCTAGCATTCCAGGGCTCTGGACACTGTGATGCCATGAAAATTACAGTTGAAGGCCAAGATGGAGCCAGGAAGTTGTAATAGAGGCTAGCTGGATCATAGGGGTCAAGTACAGCTATGGACAGAGCCCTGGTGACCAGAACCCTCCCAGATGAGAGCTCTGAGATGATCTACTACTGTAAACAATTTCACCTCTTTTATGGTCTTTGAGCCTCTGTCTGTGCTTTATTTGAATTTAAGTTGACAGCATCTTTGGGTTTTCCCCCCTATTTTACTATTTTATTTTATTTTTATTTTTTAAAATGTTTATTGAATTTATTGGGGTGACATTGGTTAATAAAGTTACATAGGTTTCAAGTGTACAATTCTAATAGAATACTTCATCTGTGTATTGTCTTGTGTTCACCACCCAAAGTCGTCTCTTTCTGTCACCATTTATTCTCCCCTTTACTCATTTCTACCTCCCCCCACCCCTTTTCCCTCTTATAATCACCATATTGTTCGAGTTGGCAACATCTTTGGAAGCTTTGGGATACTTAACAGAGATGACTCTCAAATTGAGCCTTGAAGGAAATGTAGGCCATGGGTTGGCAGAAGGCATGGTTGGGGCATTCTGAAAGTAAATGGTAGAGGATGCATAAATGCAATCAAAAGTAGGATGCTATGAAGTTGGTAAGAATATACACCTTCTTAAAACAGGATGAAGTAAAAGAACGATAGGGAATTAATTGCATGATGATCTTCATTTAGTTATTACTACTTAAAGTTGCCTTTAACCACAAATATATTAAACTCTACAAATTCTCAGCCGTGTTCTCAAGTGGCTGCCTTTGTATTACATAGTATTACAAAGAATACTATGAGACAGGATATTTGTCTCTGTAAAAACAGGTATGAAGAACCAACAAAACCAGTAGGATACTTAATTCTTTAATCCACCCATGTACCAAATTAATGTAGATTCGCTCCCTAGCTGTACTCACACCTTAACTTCCCATTTTAATCTCTCTGTGATCCATACTTCTTGTCCAAGCTTTCTCCACTAATCTGAGTTAGGAAAAAAATTATTTAAGCATACTTAGTCTAGCAGAAATCATTTGAGACTGCATTCATGTATTTCTTGGCATTAAATGAAATGCGATATTGGAGAAAAATCTAGCTAATATGAAGTGATAAGTTTTGGTATTGGGTAGTCACATCTGGTATAAAAAAATACATGGAAACAGTTATAATCAAATGACCCCCTCATCCCTAAACCTTCCAGTCAACTCGGGGCTTGCAAATCAGACATCTATTCTCCTGGACACAGCACTTGACTAATCAACTGAATTTAGATTTTTTTACCTAGACATTTTGACATTATATACTACAGGATTGTCCTCAGTGTTGGATCCAGTACCAGGGGTGTCCAACCTTTTGGCCTTCCTGGGCCACACATTAATACACAAACACTAATGAAAACTGATGAGCCAAAAAAAGAAAAGCTTTTAAGCAAATTTACAATTTTGTGTTTAGCCACATTCATAGCCATCCTGGGCTGCGACTTGGACACCCCATTTTAGGGAACGTCTTTCATTCTTTCAGCTTCCCTGTTACTCTTGTAAGAACAGTGCTGTAAGGGGGGGGCTTTGAGTCCAGGGAATTGCCCTGTCCAGCGTCCTTTTCAGTGCAGGGGATGGGCTCCAATGGGCATCAATAGTTTTGCCACTTAGCATTATAATTTTTCTATGTGACTTTCTGAATTTGGAAGGATATATTAACTAAAAGATGCAAGAATCTTTTTAATTTTCTGAACTGTTTATAACAGCAAAAATTCATTGTTACCATTAGGGCAATACACGTTCTTCGGCGAGACCAACCAATGTGTTAGAAATGATGAAAGAATGGAAAAATAATCCAGGAAGTGATGAGGAAAGCACAACAGAGCAAAAGAACAAGTGTTCCAGTCAAGAAAAGTTGGAACGTTCCCAACTCAGCAGACCCAGTGGAACTGTCCATGATGTCAACAGCACTTCTGATGAAGACGAGGAAAAACAGGTATGAAGAACTAACAAAACCAGTAGGAAGAACAATTGTTTCTGTCTCCAAACTGTAAAATATTCTCACAACACTTGGAACACTTTTTGTCACTTTTGTCTTTTTTTGTTGTTGGTTTGTAACGAAACTCTTACATGATAAAGCAAGTAAAGTTCTTTCCTCCACTGAGACCGCAGTGACTTAGAAATGTTGCCTACATGTTTAAGATCTCTGCATAGAGGGCAGGGGTCTTTAAAGGAAGAGGTAATAAGTATTTTAGGCTGTGGGAGCCACAATGGCGTGTCAGAACTTCTCCACTCTGATACTGTAGCATGAAAAGAGTCATAGGCAACTTTAGGATATAGAGACAGGCGGTATGTCATATTTGGCCCATGGGTTAAAATTAATAGTTTTTTACTTTACCAGGCTACGTAATTTGGAATGGGTTTATGTATTACTTAGAAAAAGAACTATTACATTATCTAGTTAATTGTCTCTAATTTTATGATTCCTAAAACTATTTATGTAGGTTTATCATTTTATCATATTAGATCTAAATATAGCTTTATTCTTTTCAGTGAATAAATTTTTGTAATGTTCTGATTAATTCTAGATTGTGTTCTACTAACTGGATATCCTGACAATATAGCCAAACACTATTCTGTGTTTGTGGGGAAAAGTCTTCTGCGTGTTTATTCTCTTTCTTATCTTGAAATCTGCTGAGCGCATTTTAGCTCTTCTTTAATAATTGAGCATCCTGCCAGTGGGGGCTGCGTTCACCTTAGGGCAGCCCAGGCTTCCTGTGAGGAGTGGCTCCTTTTTGGTTCTTGAAGCCTAGAGGTAGGCAGCGTGGAGAGGGGCCGAAAGGGTAAGTCCTCGGCGCCCCCCAGGAAAGTGCCGCACTGCCGGCCGCACCCTCCACGTTAAGAATCCTGTCAGAGACCAGCAGAAAGAAACCTAGTAGAGTGATTAATTGATTCTAGGCACTGGGTGAGACCTTCATCTACTTAATAGCAAATGTCTACTTAAGAAGCTTAACATTTAGTGATACAGGTATTTTGAAAGAATCATATTTTTGCCGTAATATAAACATAAATTTATTGACGTCTCTTCTTCCTCTGTAGTCTGTTAATAGCTCCTACAGTGCTTAGCAGCTGTATGTATTTTCTTTCTTGTTAAAAATGGTATTTTAAAAACTCATGTTTGCATTTTCTCGTTGAACATAATTTGAAGATTTTCCTATTAGCTGGCTTATCATCTTATACACATATATACACATACTCAGACATATACACATATACCACACATGCATGCACATATTTATATACTCATACACATAGATTACACATATATACTACCATGCATCTACATATAGTTAAATATGTACAAACACACATACTTACATATACATGCATGCACACCCTGTATCTTTTGAAGTCTTGGGTTATATCTATGTTTGTCACTGAATCTGGCGTGAAATATCCTGGAGGACCAAATCTTTGGTAGTCTTCCTTCATCTTTTCCACTGCTCTGTCACACATCTGCCCTCTCCTCTTCTTCCTCCTCCAAGTCACAAAGTGATGAGACTTGATAAGCTATTCTCAGCTACTTCCAACTAGGGAACACAAGAATTGGAATTTGAGGAGCTTATGGATGATAAAACTATACCCAGTGAGTTGAAAATTCAAGAATATAGATTTCTACTCAGTGGAAGAACTTGTCCACAATCAGCTCATCTGCAGTAGAACAGGCTGGACCATGGGGAGTAAACCCCGCCTCCCAATCATTGGAGGGATCCACGCAGACTCCGGAAAGCTGCTTGTTGTAAATGCAGTAGCAGAAATTCCTGCAAGATGGGTAGAATTTTGACTAAGAAACTTTCCCATACTTAGGTTTAGGCTAGCATTATCTTAGGAAGAATACATTTTCTTGTTTGGGTATGTTTCTGAAAAGTGTTAACCACTTAAAAGAAGGAATTCTTGCCTCGACCAGGGGCTCAGTTGGTTGAAGTGTCATCCTATGCACCAAAAGACTGTGGGTTCAGTCCCCAGTCAGGGCACACACCCAGGTTGTGGGTTTGATTCCCAGTTGAGGCACATATGGGAGGCAATCAGTTAATGTTTCTCTCTCATATTGATGTTTCTTTCTCTCTCTCTCTCAAATCAATAAAAACATATCTTTGGATGAGGATTAAAAAAAAGAAGTGAATTCTCATGCATTTAATATACTAAGTTTTTTTCAAGGATTTTTATGAATAAATAATGCTTCTTTGCTAATTATGTTGAGTTATGTTAAGAAATTACTTCTTTCCTTTCAAATCTTCATTAATGGTAGGTAGTGCTATCTAAAGTTCTAAAGAGAAAACTGAAAATAGGGTTGACCATTTACTCTTGAGTCCATACAGGATTCATATAGTAATTAATATTCTTAATAGTGGAATTGTAATTTTATTGAAATTTATTCTGTGAATTTTGAAATACTTCCCATGGAAAAATTTTGTTTGTTACAATTATATGGACAATTTGCTGTGACAATGTGAATAACCTATACCTACTAAATTAAGAAAATGTATATGATTATCTTTCCATAAAAATATTTGAAATTTGGCTTTAAGTGGAAATATGTCAGCAGTTCCTACTCTCTATTGTATCATTGTTCTCTCTTCTGGAGAATCTCATAAATCCATTTAGAGCTCCTAATGTTGTTATTTCTCACAAACCAGGAAAATCACACTTTTTAGGTAAGTGGCAGAACTCTTGGAAAACTAGCAGAGAAAGTGAGGATTTGTTATAAACAAAAACAAAAACACTTGAACTAAGCACTTTTCTCGGTCCCTGAGTAACTGTTCCCTAGTTCCAAATGCCCTGGACGCTCTGAAGGATGCAATCTGTATCACACTTCACTTTTTCAAACTTGTTTTCAAGTAGTTGGCATTTGGCAATGTCCTTCCTTTTCTTCATTTCATTTCTAACTTTTCGTGTGTTTTAGCCAATGGCATTCTTTGAGGACAGGGATGTTCTCTCATGTATATCTTGTGTTTTCCAAGCTCAGTACATCCAGATATTTGTGCTATGAGTAACGCTCTGAATTCCCCACAATGGGTCTTTAATCTACTCTCTCAGACTGAAGACTTTAACTTCCACAGCAGCGTTTCCTCCTCTTCAAATGAGATGCTTTGCAGACCTTTGCTTCTTGCAGGAGCATGCCTTTTAACGTTAGGTCCTTAGTGATTTCTGGTAAACACTACTAATACTTTCATTATTTATTAAGCTCAGAAAACAATTTGTTTGTATGTCTGTAATTAAAATGCACATCTCCATAATCATAGAGGAAGGGACTAGAAAGTCTGGATGTGACTGAAGTACTGTATTTGCACTACAGAATTCTTGTTAAATTATTTATTGAATGCAGTAGAATATATTTTAATGAAAATGGAAAAAAATTGTATTATTTTGTGATCATTTTTCTTAGCTGAAAACATGACCTTTATGGTATCATAGGCGATAGTACACGTGGCAAGTACTTTACCTGGTCTGGAAAGTAGAAAGGGAAGGTGGCTTAGAAACTTTGAAAGTTATTTTGATCAATGAAATGTATTCACATATTAGTTTTTCAAAGACAAGAGTATTTGAATTTAAATAATAATAAAATTAAACAGTTGAGTTATGGTATATTGATACGTTTCAATGAGGAAAAAGTCAGGTTTTCTTGGTATATTAGTTGAGTAGGATAAAAATTTTCTTTACAAATTAAATCTTAGGCCTCTGAACCCATGTGAATCTGTGTGGATTTGGTGGTGCTTTCACCATTTGGCACGCTTTTATTCTTCAATTCTGAAGCATTGCAGTCTGGTATATGTGTCCAAGCACTGCACTTAAAGTATCATGATGGTTAAAGCACAAGCTCCGGACCTAGGCTGCTTGGGTTCAAATGCCGGCTTCATCACTTACAAGCTTTTTGACCTTGGGCAAGTCTGTAGGCCTCTGTTTTCTCATCTGTGAAACAGTAGTAATGGCATCAACCAAGAGCTAAATGAAATCTTGCATGCAACACTCTTGACATAGGTTAAGCACAAATTAATGTTAACTTATTTTTATTATTATATTGCTAATATAATAGGGTAGAATATCTTATTATTTGGGTATAATAACAGGGTAGAATATAATATAATAATAGGGTAGAATACCCTATTATTCAGGCTAATATAATATTTGGGAAGAATACTAAAATTGCATGATTTTTCCTGCCTGCTTCAAGGCTCCTTTGGCTATAGGTGTTGAATAAACAAATGAAAAAACTAAGAATAAGAAATACCAATTTCAAAGGTGATAAGGAGATGTTTCCAAACTCATTTGCCCTCTGAATTTGGTAGGGCTCCTGGCATACTGTGGTAGATTGTGCTATTTTTCCCACTTATTTAATCCCTCCCTGTAAGGGTTTGTCCATTCATACCCTTTGCCGCGTGACTTTGCAGTTCTCCCTATTTCAATAGATGAAGGAAATTTTCTTTTTCACTCCACTACTGTTGTTCTGAGCAATATGACTCACTGTGGCTCATGGAATGTGAAGAGGGGTGATGTAAGCAGAAACCTCAGAAGCGCTTGTGTGACAGCTCGCTCTGTGCATTTCTGCCCCCCGCCATGGGGAGAACGAGCCTGCAGGGAGCCACACTTCACGGAATCATGAGGATCGTGGAGCAGACCTGAACCCAATGCAAAGCCTGAAGTCTAGCCCAGCATAGCCAAGCCCCACTGCTGAAAAAAATTAATGTTTACTCTTGTAAGATATGAGAATTTTGTATTTGTTTCTCATGTAGTTGTACAGAAAAGAGTTAACAAAGCAGGCCTAAACTGTTATCCTTGAAAAGGTTTGCTTGCAAGGCTGGCCCTTGGCTGGCTTCTGAGAATTTAGGTTTTGGGATGGTTGCTACCGTTAACTGATAAGAATGATTCATTGTGCCTAAACTGTATGTACAAACAATATGCTTTCTGCTGAACACCTGCTTTCCTCCTGGGAGTCTG